ATATTTCTATTGTTGAGGGGCTGCATTATTTGAAGATTGTAATTTCTGCGCCACTGTGGTCACCAAATGGAACTGTATACAGTAACCACTGTTTTCAGACAGGTTTCCCCATATTCATGCGACAGGACAAATGAACAAGTGTGTGTGTGTGTGTAGTTACAGCATCTACCAGCAGGGGATCACAGGGCCATGTTACCCACCCAAACATCAGAGATAGGAGGAAGTAACATAAACCTTTAAATAGGCACTGTTTCAATAGCAGACCTATATCCTCCTAATTGGAAGTGAACAGGAAATGAGAGAAAGCTTTCAACAAAATATCTCTTTTTTAGACGTATACATGCCAACAAACACACCACAAAATCAGCTTGCCTGTCGACTGGTATTGCCACGGTTACTGGCTCTCTCCTTTGATAAGTTTCCTAACGAAGGCTGCATAAATTAGAAGTTTCTCTCTGAATATTAATAACGCATATATCATTGGAGCTGTTGTTTCTGTTGCTTCCACGAAGCTGATTTACATATGAAAAATGGAAGCTTTCTGAAAACAGAATTTCTGAAGTTTTTGACCTAAAAAGATGTCCTAGATACCTCGAAATCCACATCAAACATGCTCCTCTCCCTCTCTTCCCCTCTCTCTCTGTTCCACACATACACACTCACATGTAGGGAGGGACACAAGCTAAGCCACCATTTTTAGGTACCATGACATCATCTTTGTCAGATTTTCAAAATAATTAGTTGCTTTTTTCATGGCTGGCATATGCTATAGTGAATCATTTTTTTAGCTGAAGCTGTCATAATGATTCAAATGAGAGACTTTGATCACACCCTACTCACTAAAGATTGGAGTGTTTATATCAGCCGTGATGTTTTTAATGATCTGCTTTTGATACTATTTTTGCCGGTCTCTTTGAAAATGCCTGCAACTACATAATCTTACTAGAGAATACGCAAACCGTATTGTTCACAACTTGCAGGGATTCTGCTGTAATAAGATATGATGAATAAACTATTTTGATACCTGTCTGCAATCATGGTATTAGGGATGTGTGCAAGTGTATCCTCTATGTAAATCTCACTTTTGGGCATAGAGTGTCATGCATGCTGACATTAAGCTGTGAGGGCTAAAGGAGAGTCTGCACTTTGATCCAAATAAACTTTTTAAAGTTAGACAGAGCTGTCCTCTAAAAACCCCTTATGTTGTCATCATTAAAGGAATAGTCCACCCCAAAATGAAAATGCTGTGATAATTTATTCACCCTCATGTCATTCCAAACCATGTGTGACTTTCTTTCTTCTGTGAAACTATATTCAAATATATTTTGCAGAATGTTGGTAACCAAACAGCTATACAATTATATATATATATATATATGTGTATATACACTCACCTAAAGGATTATTAGGAACACCATACTAATACTGTGTTTGACCCCCTTTTGCCTTCAGAACTGCCTTAATTCTACGTGGCATTGGTTCAACAAGGTGCTGAAAGCATTCTTTAGAAATGTTGGCCCATATTGATAGGATAGCATCTTGCAGTTGATGGAGATTTGTGGGATGCACATCCAGGGCACGAAGCTCCCGTTCCACCACATCCCAAAGATGCTCTATTGGGTTGAGATCTGGTGACTGTGGGGGCCATTTTAGTACAGTGAACTCATTGCCATGTTCAAGAAACCAATTTGAAATGATTCAAGCTTTGTGACATAAAGGGATGGACATGGTCCATCCCTTTATCCTTTGTGCCATAAAGGGATGGACATGGTCAGAAACAATGCTCAGGTAGGCCGCGGCATTTAAACGATGCCCAATTGGCACTAAGGGGCTTAAAGTGTGCCAAGAAAACATCCCCCACACCATTATACCACCACCACCAGCCTGCACAGTGGTAACAAGGCATGATGGATCCATGTTCTCATTCTGTTTACGCCAAATTATGACTCTACCATCTGAATGTCTCAACAGAAATCGAGACTCATCAGACCAGGCAACATTTTTCCAGTCTTCAACTGTCCAATTTTGGTGAGCTCTTGCAAATTGTAGCCTCTTTTTCCTATTTGTAGAGGAGATGAGTGGTACCCGGTGGGGTCTTCTGCTGTTGTAGCCCATCCTCCTCAAGGTTGTGCGTGTTGTGGCTTCACAAATGCTTTGCTGCATACCTCGGTTGTAACGAGTGGTTATTTCAGTCAAAGTTGCTCTTCTATCAGCTTGAATCAGTCGCCCCATTCTCCTCTGACCTCTAGCATCAACAAGGCATTTTCGCCCACAGGACTGCTGCATACTGGATGTTTTTCCCTTTTCACACCATTCTTTGTAAACCCTAGAAATGGTTGTGCGTGAAAATCCCAGTAACTGAGCAGATTGTGAAATACTCAGACCGGCCCGTCTGGCACCAACAACCATGCCACGCTCAAAATTGCTTAAATCACCTTTCTTTCCCATTCTGACATTCAGTTTGGAGTTCAGGAGATTGTCTTGACCAGGACCACACCCCTAAATGCATTGAAGCAACTGCCATGTGATTGGTTGATTAGATAATTGCATTAATGAGAAATTGAACAGGTGTTCCTAATAATCCTTTAGGTGAGTGTATATTACACCTTAAATATGTGAGTTTACATATCACCCGTTTTTAAATACAAGTTAAAAAGTACATCAATTCATTCATAAATATCATTAAGTTTTTTCTTGTTTTTGTATTTTGGTTGCACCACATGACTTTGATTTGGTGGACAAAAGTTTAACCTAACATTACATTTTACAAAAGAATGACTTACAAAAGTAATTTGTCAAAGAGCCAACAATATTCATAATATACCTGTGCAATGCCAGATTTATTAGACAACTGGATTAGGAATTAGACAACTAGGTTAGGTTAGGTGATTTAATAAGGTTTTCTTTTCAATAATTGAATTCCTTTATTGAGGCTTTTTCTTTATTGTCAAATAAGGACATATCATATTTTTTGTTTAGAAATTAAAAATCATAGAAACTTGATATTCAAGTACTTTTGAATGACTACAAAGACAAAAAATACAAGACAAAAAATGAGTATCATGCCACTGTCCCGAAAGCATTCCCTATGGTGTTTCTTAATAGTGATCTCTTATCTCAAGTCACACTGTCCATGCATATGTGACAACATCTTAAAAAAGTGAGCGAGTAATATTCCTTTTGAAACTGAAATAAAGGAATTGTTTATACTTGTGAATTTCAGGGCCTCAAGCCAGTGTGTGTGTGTGTGTGTGTTCAGCTGCCTTCCGCAGTTGGAGTGTGTTTGGGTCTTGCGTTGCATGGCTCAGTAATCCCAGTGCAGTCACAAGCTAACAGTGCCTCTCTCCTGCCGGGACTTAGCGCACACAATGTGAGCGGCATGTGACTGCATTAGCATAGCTCACTGTCAGACTACACTGGTCTAATCTCTGTACAGTCACGAACCACAGCACCAACAAAGCCTGAGAGAATAATAAAACAGGAGGAAATTCTTGAAAAAGAAGTATCTGTCCACAGCGGTGGGTTTCAAACAGATTTTGTTATTTAGGAAACAATGAAACACTATTTTAGTGACCATTCCAGATTAATTTGTGTCCTTTGTGACATGGTCGATCTCACCCAGAGCCATTGATTGGGGGTCTGACCCCTCTCACCTTATTCGGTTTTATAAGAGTGGTTTTGTCATATGAGCAAATGAGCGAGCGTTATCAAACACAAAGCAACTCTTATACAAAACACTGTAAAAAGTGCAGGAACAAAACTTCTTACAAAAAGTTAAGGGTTTCAGGGCTGGGGCAATGTGCCAGAAACTATGATGGTCATGTGAACTAGTTATGATGTGAATTGCAAACTGAATGACTACAATCATGCCTGCTTTTGGGTCCCATTCAGAACAGTGAACTGAGGGCAAAAGCATTCCAAGGATTCTTTGAATTGAAGGAGTAAAGGCCAGCCGACTGAACACATGAGGCATTCAAGCTTGTTCATTAGTGAGAAGAAATTTCAGGTGCTGGACCTTATCACCAAAACTATTTTTACTGAATATATATAATTTTTTATGACATTATGGAATGAAAATTATGGAAATCAATTGGATCTTTACTTATTGTAAAACTCAAAACTCAAGAACCCATGATGTGCATGAATGCATAAAGGGGGTCAAAACAGCATTCAATGGATTTCTTGGCATGCTGTTTTTTTTGTGTTTTTTTCTCAGTGTAATGAAATCATTTAAGAATTTGATTTTACACAAATGGTTAAATGGTTCAAATAATGTTCATTTGTTCACTTTCCAAAAATAATAATGAAAAAAGTCTATGTAACTTGCTTTCGCAGAGCTATAATTATGGCTATGTTATCACATCTCACAGAAAAACTTCACCTGAAATCATCCCTGAAGTCATAAATTTATCATGATATACAATACATACTGTATGTAGGTATATGGTACCAAAAAATTCAATGGCAACAATAAGCAAAAATAGCAAATGAATACATTACATACTGAATTACAATACATACTGAACTTATGATCAATACATGCTATATAGCACCAATTTAACAAAGCAATAGATAATAAGTTTTAAAATGATTTTATGAATTAAGGTATTGGTCACTTTACACAATGTTTACCTTAATCATGTTTACCTTAATCAAAGTAAAAAAAAAAAACTGTGGCACAAAAGGCTGAGAGCTTGAATACTCTTGAATGGGCCTATTGCTCTGATGTACTCCCCGGACGAATTCACAGGTAGGCCTTAATTACTACACGAGTGAGACATGTCATCATGGCTTGGTGCCGCCACTCCGAGGATTCCACGCAGCATTCTGCAGAGCCTTGCGACTTTTCCAGACGAGGGCAAATCCTCGATACACACGACGCCATCCCAAAGGGAGATCAAGCATCCCAGTCCAGAGACCTCCGCTTTTGAGTTCAACACACCTGGAGCCAGCTAATTCCCTCATCCATCTCAAACACACACACACACACACACAAAACACACCAACAAATAGACCCTACAGAAAGAAGGCCACTTCGGACATCTGTTTTCCACCATGGGACTGTGTTCTCATAATGGATTGTTAGTGATGTTGCTTTTTCATCTTTGCCAGGCACAAGGTATAGTAACATTTTTTTCAATAACACTGAATTTGTGCTTGAAAGCAGATGTTAAGGAATCGGATTACAAAGTCTATATAAAGACTGGGAAGAAGGATACTATATTCTTAGGGAATTGCCCTCAGGGCAAAATAGCTTGATCCATGTTGAGTCAGCATTAGATGCCAGTATGTTTCACTGATTCATGGACTGCATCTAAGGCTGAAATCAATTTCTGACGTGGTATCTGCATAATCAATTTTCCTGGTCATTCCAAAGGCACTTTTGCTGATGATTGGCTGAAAACCCACTTTTCAACATGTCAACTAGATCTAAAACCAATAACAACTTCAAATCAGTTCTCCACGGCTGACAGTAACCACAGCACTGGCAGCCTCAGCTTGTGTTTGGCTGTAGTACAAGCAAACTAATATCTCTAGACTCCAAACTGAGATCCCATTAGCTTCTTCATTTCAGGCCTATAAAAGTTATTCAATCGCTATTTCCCAGAACCGCAACACCTTCATGCTAATCAACTGTGAGATCTCACATTCCACAGGAATTCACACAAATCTATTTCACTTTCCTATGAAAATTGCTGTGAAAACCAAAGACTACATTGAAGATGTCTTTGACAAAATAAGTTATACTGAAACTAAATATATAATTTGATTCAGTTGTTCAGAAAATCGAATACAATTTTTGAGTTTAAGACTTAGTATTATTCTACTTCCTTGCATTCAGTAAGTTTTTTTTTCTAATTAGAATGACTAATATCATAAATTTTACGATCCATTGTGCTGACAGTCAGACTCCGCTTTACACTTTCTCCAAGATAACAATTGCTTTCACTTTTAATCTTACAGCTTCTTAAAATAGTTATTGACCATTGTGACTCAACATACATTTTGAGCTCTATACTTGAATATACTAATAATAATCCATCAGAAAAAAAAAGCTACTGAACTTTTGTTGGTATGTTGGAAACAGAAAAGGTAGACTTTTAAAATTTTAAAAGGAATATTCTGTTTAACAAAATTTTGCCAAGTCACACTTTGAATGTTGGCTTGTGAAAAGTTGTGAAACTTTGCCATGAAATGAAAATTCATCCTATTTGTTTTGTAACTGCATGTTATAGATTTCTTTGTGAACTAATACTTTTTTTGGCCTTGGAATGTTTAATCAAACTAACGTAACTCGATCTTCCAGTGATAACGACTTCTCTCTGGTGACGTATTCCAAACATCTCCAATGATTTATTCTGCTTAAACCCCGCCCAATCGACTGCAAGGTCACATTCATTTCTGAATGCAACGGGCACATCCCAAAATCCAATCAACAACTGATGGATACAACCAAGTCCCTGCCCTACATTTTCGATAATCCGTTACACTCAAATGTGCTCCACAAAAGGAGGAAAAGATTTGTCATACTTACGTTTCATTACGACTTTAAAAGGCCTTGGATGACAGACAGACAGAGATAAAGATAGATAGATAGATGGATGGATGGACGGACGGACGGACCGACGGACCGACCGACGGACCGACGACCGACAGACCGACAGACCGACAGACCGACAGACCGACAGACAGATAGATAACATTTTAAGGACCAGGGTGAATTATGTGCTGAATTTCTTTGAATTACAATGTCTTCCTCCAATTCAACTTCCTGTGACCAATTCAGTTCAAATTCCAACTCATAAAACTGAAGCCAGTTCTTCAATTCTGAAATCTGTCCATCCCTGCTGCTCATATATTAACACATTCTCATCCCAAGGCGTCATCTAACTGACACTTTTGACCATGCGTCAACATGCCGACGCACATGGTACCCCTTAAGCGTCAATATGAGACGCTCATCCTCGGGCGTCATCTAACTGACGCTTTTGAACATGCGTCTAAATCCGACGCACATGGCACCCTTTAGCGTCAGTTAAATGACGCTTCCGTTATGGGTAGGTTTAGGTCTGGGGTAGGGTTAGGGTTAGACCACTAGGAGGCGCGTCTCATATTGACGCTTAAGGGGTACCATGTGCGTCGGCATGTTGACGCATGGTCAAAAGCGTCAGTTAGATGACGCCTTGGGATGAGAACGGGCTGCATATATATATAAACTCACAGAAAGAGTGATGAGATGTGAACCTGCTGCACATTATCAGCTTGACAATGTTGACCTGGTCAAATCTGCTCTATAGTTCTCTTTGCTGCTTTGCACAGATGATGCTCTCCCGTCCCCTGACCCCGAGCCGGCCCCACCAAGCCTGGGTGATGTGATTGATGCAGTGAAGGCAGCATTCGAGCATGCAGTACAGATCTCGACAACTGGCGCCGTACGCGAAGCCTTGGAGCATGTTGTAGGGGAAATCACGCCACTGAAGACTCCGGCAGAGCAGGAGTCACCATCAGTAGAAAACACAGCAGATCATACAATAGAAGAAGCAGCTGAAGAAGTGCATCTCAATGAAGGAGAACCAGATGTGCATATGTCAGAATCAAATGAACAAACATACGAGGAAACCGCTCAAAAAGGGCTGGCCCAAGATATAGAGCCTGCAGAGGGGATTCAAGGACTGATAGCTCAGGAGGAGCCAGAACAGAAATCAGTTATAAAACCTTCGGACCTTGAGGCAAAAGATTCGATTCAGGAACCAGTAGAATCAGTTTTGCAAGACCCTGAGATTGTTGGAGTGGGTGAACCAATGACAGAGGAAAGCCAGTCAGAGGAATCACCGGTCCAGACATATACTGTCACACAAAAGGAAAATGAACCAGGAAGAGGAGCTGCGGAAATGAACAAGGGAGGCAAAGAGGTTGAAGAGGGTGCAGAAGAGCCAGGGCAGGGATTTATTGAGGACAAAGGAAAAATAGAAGTAGAGGTGACAATTGGTGGTGGAGAAGTTAAAGTAGAAGTACCACAGGAAGAAGAATCTGTGGAAAGGCAAGAAAAGGATACAGAATCAGAGCATAGTGAAGAGGAATGGCAGGCAGTAACAGCACAGATGGGTACAGATGGTGGTGTGGTTGATATGGATGAAGTAGAACAGGAAGAGGAAGAGCAGGGAGCAGCAAAGACTGAAGAAAGTGTGATTGAAGTTGAAACAAGTAGAGAGGAGGTAAAGGCTGGATCTGAGGCACAGCTTCAGAAGGTTTCAAGAGAGGAGGATGTTCTTCCAACTGACAAAACAGTACCAGAGAAAACTCAACAGGAACCAGGTAATTAAAGTGCATTCACCACCCAAGATAACTTCAAACCAAAAAACGGTGATAAATTTCAACCTCAAACCATTCAATTACAAATTTCCCGTTAAGTTAGAGGCGTGACATTTTCTAGTTGTACACCATATATGCGGCAAATTATTTTGTTAGCTATGGTTTCCCAATTGTTATGGAGTTTTTCCCCCCAAACCTAATGCAATTAGACTTTCACTGTCTGATCTTTGCACTTACAATATACAGCAAAGGAACCAAGCCGCCTAAGGGCATCCCTTCAGTTTATAACAGCGAAAAGACTCGTAACATGTATCTCTGGAGATGACTGGCTCCTGGGTTCACTCCAAGTCATCTATCCACCATTAATTACACAGTCACGCTGAAATACACTGAAATACACAGCTTAATCAGACTGTGCACACTGGGGATTCACATAGCATCACTTTATTTCAGTTTTAGATTGAATAGAGTGCAGTAGAATCTTCCTAAAAAGATTTGAATAGAATGCAATACAATAGAATAGTGCTGCGGAATAGCAGTTGTTTTCTTTAATCAAACTATATGTATCTTGTTGCAGTACATTTGGGAGTATGGAGAGTAATAAAGCCCACACAAACACCTGCAAACACTAACAATATCTCCCTCTACTTGAGAAAAAGGTGACTGAAACAAATTGAAAGAAGTGCTAAAAGAAATACAATCTCAATTTAAGTGTCATTTATAGTCTGATGTCATATGTATTCCTACAATACACATACATTTTGTATGTTTCAATATATGCTGAAACATACAATATGAATGTATTGACATTATTTAAAACATTAAAGTATTTATGTATGCACAGCTTTATTTTGCAATCTTTATTATATTATATTATATTATATACTCACCCTCAAATTAGGTAAATGCATTAAACAATTAATAAGTATCACTGATTAAATACAACAAAATCAACCTATTAACTAATTTAAGTCATTATTCTATGAAGCTAAAAGAATTCAGAAACATCTCTAAAGTTGTTTATATGTATTAGAATAGCTGTTAATACATTCAGTCTATACAAATGGATTTTAAAATCTGTCTAAACATCATATCAACCAGTGTGAGTGTGGTCTGTTTTAGTACAAGTCCAAAGCTCCCTAGTTGGAGCCTAATTTATGATGAACCACTGTCCTATATGTTTCTGCTCTTGCTGCTCCTGTGACCTACATACAGAAACACATTTATCCTGCTGAAACTAAGAAACCCCTAAACCTTAATTCCCATACAGCATGGACTTTACCCTTCAATCCTCCTAAAAGCACTACATGCTCCACTGAGTCAAATTGCCTCTGTCACAGTTGGTGGTATTCAGATAAATCAGACTTTCTTCATTTCTGTGCATTGGGTAAATAAGTGTATAAAATGTGCAACAATTCATGATTTAATCATTTGAGGAAGTAAGAATCTCACCTTTGTCTTCACGAAGACCAATAATTAGTTGTTTACCAATATCTTTGACCATTTAAACCAAAGGTCTGGAGGAAAATTTCAAATATCGACTTCCCCTCACATACAGTATATAGTTAAAGTCATTTTGTCCTCTGACAAACACAGATCTCTTTTTGCAAAGGTTTCTTGGTCCCTTAATATACTGAACTCCAGTATTGTGGAAAGTTACTTATATAAGTTATTCATCACAATATCGTGTTACCCCTTAAAAAAGTAACTAATTGTGTTACTTAGTTACTTTTTATGGAAAGTAATGCGTTACATTACTTTTGCGTTACTTTTTGTCACCTGGGCTGGGCTTGCTTGTTTGTTTAATAACATACAAAAGGTTCTATTTTTAGCAAATGTAAAGTGAAATAAATGAGCCTCAGGCTGAAGGAAAAGCAAATTCTTGCTTGTGGGCGCAGCTCAGACAAACCTTTCAGCTGTGCTACAAAGTAAGTTACAAAGTAACTTGCATTATTTAAAAAAAAAAGTACTTTACTCTTTAGGCTACTTGAAAAAGTAATCTGATTACGTTACTCACGTTACTTGTTGCCTAATGCGTTACCCCTAACACTGCTGAGCTCCTGTGTTACACAAATATATACTGTATTGTGAGAGCGTCATTTTAAATTCCATACGTATCCTCCAGGTCTCATCTCATCTTTACGCTGAAATTTTCACCACTATGTTAAATGTCTCCCTCATTTCACAACAGAGGTCACCGTGGATACTAAGGGACCAATTAAGTTGCAGGATCCTGTTATCACCAAGTCTAAAGCAACAGGCGGTGAGGCTGTTAATGACACAAATTCCCTCTCAAACCTTCAGTCGTCTGCTGTCTATGAATGTAACGCAATGAATGTGTGGAAACTTCTTCATGTTCTACAGGTAAAACACATGAGGCACGTGATGTAAATGAGATTATCAACACCAGGGACCCGAATGGGAAAAATCCAGGTGAAGCGGTGTTGATGAACACTATTGAGGAGCTCCCACCAACACCAGTTCTCAAACTGAGGCTCGGAGACACTGATGCACCAATGGGGGAACACGTTGAATCTACACGTATGACAACAACATGACAAATATCTAAACACAAAGTAAAACAGAAATAATAAGTAAACACGTTTGCAAAAACAATTTCAAATTAAAGCTGCAAGCAGCATTTAGCGGTGTTCAAGCAGTTAAGGCCTTTAAGGCCGTTAAGCACAAAAGCATCAAAAGACATTAAGTTTTATTTAGCATACATTTAAACACTGACATCATAGATGGAAAAGACCATTTATAGCCAATACAGGCAATTTACCATAGGAAATATATGGTTTTAAAGCTTTTTAACAGTTATAGCGCCACCTATAGTCCGAACTCCATGAAACTTTGATCTAGAGAGTCCAGAGAATAGGCCTAGACTGGTTTGGTTCCGATCGGGCGAAAAACCAGGGACTATAGTTCGCAAAAGTAGGTTTTGGACAAAATTCGACATAGCGGAAAATTTTTCTTGCTTAAATCGAAATTGGAGATATCGAGACCAACGGTCTAGGAGTTATGAGCAATTTAGTACCTTTGGTTGCTGTGGCGCCACCTATGGGCCAATCGGGGTCATACTCTGATAGGTTCTCCCCAAAAGTGTGGCCTACCATCTGGCCGAGTTTCAAGTCTCTAGGCCTTACGGTTTGGGCTGCACGATGCGTTTTAGGGGATTTTATTTTTTCAAATAGCAATTAATTAATTAAATCTATCTATCTATCTATCTATCTATCTATCTATCTAATCAAAGTTTATTGTTAAATAAAAGTTTTACACTGTATTTAGACAGGGCTGCAAAATTGGAAAATAAAATAACAGTTTGAGCTCCTGATGATGATGTTTTCTGAAGGTCGTGCACCTGTCACTGCCCATTTGTTGTAAAAAAAAAATATATATAAACAAATATTTTTTTTAAGAGTTTCCCTATTTTGTACTGGAAAGTGCCAGGTGGTAGGCTCTATAGAGAGGCACACCTGCTCATTTCTCTTTTTTGATTTATTTAACTTTCTATATTTGACAGTACTTTCTCTCTCTCTTTCACGCTTCAGAGACCAAAGCCATAGGGCAGGACGCTTGGAAGATAGGAGCCATAGCAGCAGCTTTCTTTCTCATTCTGCAAACGGCTGTCACCATAGTTTACATTCTGAAGTGCAGGAGAAAGCCAAACAGGTTTGTGTCATTACAGGATCTTTGGAAGAGAAGTAGTTATTGGAACTTCACTATAATAACTGATGAGATGTATATGATACTATATAATATAGACATCTATACAGTGTTTTACAGTATAAATTACACACATGCACAAAAATGCATTTGGCAAATGCATTATCAAAAGTGACTTACAGTACATGATCCCTATATAGGACTCAAACCCATAAGTGAGCAACAGGAATATTATGAGGTGGCGAATTCGTACGAACTCATACGACCTCACTCGTACGAATTTGTGCGATTTTTGCTAAATCGTACATATTTTACGAATTGCCCAATTCGTATGAATTCGCACGAATGACCTACCCCTGACCCCATCCCTAAATCCACCCATCACTGGGGTTTAGACAAATCGTACGAATTCGATTGAGGTTGTACGAATTTGTAAGAATTAGTCGTGAGATGGCGTTGTCTATACCGCTCAAACGTTTAGATTTTTTTTTGTTTTAAGAGTATAAGAGCATACGAGTTTTAAGAGCATAAGAAGTCTTATGCTCACCAAGGCTGCATTAATTTTATACTACGTACTTTAAGGATAATATTCCTATATATTTGTTAGCAACAGTGTGGCCCCAAAGAACCCGTGTGCAGGAGGAAACGGGGGTGTAGAATGTGACGCAAACAACACAGACACCACCATTCCAGTCGATGAACAGTGAGCATTCGACCACCACACACATACTCATCCTGATTATGAGGACCATAAACATGCATTGTGACTGATTGTTTGTGCTTACAGAAGTGCTGTAGACGACCTTCCAGAGTACTCGCAGGTCCAGCAAGAGGACGTTGCTATGACAACTGTCCCACTGGATTCCACAGAGAAGAATTCGTCCTATGAACCCAGAACCTCTGCTGTTTAGCATTGCCGACCTTAAGGAGTAGATGTGCAAGTGTGTGTGTAAATGATTGAGTGTCTGAACATGTGTGTGTGTCTATATGTGTATTGAACGGTCTGGTTAACCTTGACTGCAAATGTCACTCATTTGTTATTCCCCGGCCCATACAGAAGAATGACCTATTATTTGCACTGCAAAAAAACATCTTCTTACCCAGTATTTTTGTCTTGTCTTCCAGTACAAATATCTAAACATTCTTGAGTCAAGAATCATTTATTTGACAAGCAAAATGATATAAGAAATCAGGTCTTGTTTTCTGAAAAACTGATGACATTTTAGTGAGTTTTTGCTTAAAATAAGAAAAATATCTGCCAATGATCTTGTTTTCCCTTTGAATTATAGGTTTAAGATTATTTTTCTGACCCCATTGGCAGATATTTGTTCTGGTATTAAGAATAAACTTGCATTGAAAAAACAAGACTTGATAGCTTATGCCATTTTCCTTCTCAAGTAAATGTATCTTGATTTAAGACATAATATATTTGTACTGGAAAACAAGACAAAAATATTAAGAAAAGCATTATTTTTTTTCAGTGTTAAAAAGCAGAGTTTATTCTTTAATAATATCTAGCTATTGCATGTACACAAGGATAAAAAGTATACATTTTTGGGCTGGTTTCTCAGCTAAAATATCTATACTCTAGGGGGGGGGAAAATATATTTACTAGAAAAGCAAAACTGCATAAAATATTAAGACTTGTTTTCCGAAAATATATTTCGAATTGAGTTTTTATTGAGCTTTTTTCTTGCTCAAAACATCTAAAAACAATTTGCCCATGGGGTGAGATAAATAAACTAATTCAATATTTATTTTGTGATAATCTTAAGTCTTAAGTATATTTATCTTGTTTTAAGACTGTTCGGATATTTTACTGAAAAAAACAAGACAGAATTTTTTTTTTTCCAGTAGAGTAAATTGGAATTGAATCCATAGGTACTGTTCTGATTTTCTTCTTTTGTCTAGATGAAGCTGAACATAGTTGCAATTCACATCAATTTCTTGCATTCAAATATTTCCATTTACTTGTAAACCCATGTCAAATTCCATAGAAAACTTGTTTAAGTTTGGCATGTACTAATTCAAATGTATTACTTTGAAAGTGCCCAGAATTAAAAACGATTCAAATGTTAGTCTTTCCGTCTTTCCTCCACAACCCTATCGTAACAGACATGAGACGTGTCCTTTCTTACATAAATGGTTTGTTTCAGTCCATTTTTTTTTTTGCCTGTTATGAAAGCAAAAATCACTGATCTATCAGACCTTTGAAAATGTCAAACCAATATACGCAAATGAAGAACCACATTCATTAAAGAAGTAAGAAATCTGTGGACTCTTTACCCATTCTCTCTCTCCTCTCCCTCCCTCTACCGGCTGCTGATCACGGGATGGAGGGATCAGAGAGATGAGTGCAGTCGGGAGGGGTGTAAGTATAAAAGAGTTGGACAGGGGGCAGCACAGGGGGGCACCAGTGTGTGTGAGAGAAAGAGTGGGGCAGAAAAGAGAGAACTGATGATATAAGGTACTTATACTTTTATCTTTTTTTTTTTACTCGACTATATATGAATTGTTGTTTAATAAATCAGTTCAGAATTAATGATGAGCATAGGGTGAGTTAAATGCATGTGATTTATTGTCAGGTTCTTTTTGCTATCATAAGAGTTGAGATGACAAATCGATGAAGGAAATAATTGATTTTATTTTGTAAGAACTATTAACGCAATCTGTGTGTGGGTTTACTCTGAGGACATAACCAGTCTGCAAGTTAGACAGTTTGAGGTTGTGAAGTTTGAACAGATGTTTCTGGAAGGCTGTTATACAACTGCAAGCCTACTACTTCAAAAAAAAAAAAAAAATGAGAGAAAAAAAATGAACTGTTGCTTTCCATTGTTTCTCTCTGACAGGGTAATACATTTCTTACATTTTTTCAGATCTTCTGCAGTAAGAATGGATCTTTACTGTGCACATTTTTGCACTGATCTCAAAAGCTTTACCAGCTTCCTTAGGCCTACCATTTCTTTTGCAGATAATGAGTGGGTTACTCTTTTTCCTGAAGCAAAACCAAAACGCTTTATGATTAAATAATTTTCTCTTCACATGTAATGTATCCAATTTAATTGTAAAATAAAATAAATAAATAAAATAAAGTTAAAAAAAAATCTTGTTTTAAGCATATCTAATAATATTTTTGTAAGTTTTATGCTTAAAACAAGAAAAGATTCCAGCAGGGTAAGGAAAATAATGAGTTCAAATCATCTTAAGAATCAATATATTGTTCAATATATATTTTCTGGAATAAATTCTTAAAATCTCATGCAATTTTGCTTATACATTTATCATTTTCTTATGTTTAGGTAGCCCTACTGTATCTTTTCTTGGAAATGAGACAAAAATACTGATTAAGAAACCTTTTTGTAAATTTCTTGTTTTATGATGGTCCACTTTAAACAGTCTACTAACTATAATAACTTTACAACTACATGTCAACTTATTCTACTAACCCCTAACCACAAAATAAAGTGTAACCATTTTTGAAATAGTTTGAAGTACTAAAGGCAGATTTTTTTTACGATCGTTAGATATTGGCCATGTTAACTTAACTTGGACAATCCGTGCCATTTTACAGGGATATTTCATCCCCCAAAAGTAACTGGCTTACCCTCATTCCTCTCCAAACCAGTATGATTCTCATTCTGTTCAACATGTGCTGTGTTCCATTTAATAAAGAAAGTAATACAGGTTTGTTATGGCAGGAGGTTTAGTAACTGAGACAAAAGTGTAATTTTTAAGTGAACTATCCTTTAAAGGGTAAATATCCCATAATTTACTCACCCTCAAGCCATTCTAGGTGTATAGGACTTTCTGCTTTCAGCCAAACAATATCGGAGTTGTATTAAAAAATATCCTGGCTTTTCCAAGCTTTATAATGGGAGTGAATGGTACCATAGATTTTGAAGCCCAAAAAAGTGCATCCATCCATGTTAAAAGTAATCCATCCGGCTCCAGAGCGTTCATAATGGCCTTCTGAAGCGAAGCGATGCATTTTTTAAGAAAAATATCCATATTTATAACTTTATAAACTATAATCACTGGCTTCCGGTAACGGCCGTTCGTGAGTCTAGTTCCGGCAGAAAAGTGACCTCTGACCCGACGCATGACTGAGGATGTAGGAGTAGCGTAAGCTTAGGTGAGAGTAGACGCCTCTCGCGGTCCAGGACTCGAGCTTCTCCGACCTTTCTCTTTAAAAATTCTCGTTTTAGACTTCTAATTCGTGACCGATGTTGTGTTTTGCTCTATCCTCTGCGCTTCCCCATTCGTCAATACGTCATATGTCAGGTCAGAGGTCACTTTTCCGCCACAACTCGACTCGCGTACGGCCGTTACCGGAAGCCAGTGATTATAGTTTATAAAGTTATAAATATGAATATTAAAAAACACATCGCTTCACTTCAAAAGACCTATTGACCCCCTGGAGCTGATGACTTTTATGATGGATGGATGCGCTTTTGGGGGCTTCAAAATCTAGGGTAGCATTCGCTTGGAAGAGCCAGGATATTTTTTAATATAACTCCGATTTTGTTTGGCTGAAAGAAGAAAGTCATATACACCTAGGATGGCTTGACGGTGGGTAAATTATGAGATAATTTTCATTTTTGGGTGAACTAACCCTTTAAGCATAATACATGCGGGTCCATATTTGTCTTTCCAGGATGTGGAAGAGTGTGTGTTTAGTGCTAATGTGCGTTGTGCTGACGCACGCTCAGTTCCCACGTCAGTGCGTGACACCAGAAGGTCTGCAGAGTGGCACCTGCTGCCCATCACCTACTGGACTGCCCAATGATGAGTGTGGATCCAGTACTGGCAGAGGTCAATGCGTGTCAATTACTGCTGACCGTCACCCACACGGGCCTCAGTATCCTCACGATGGCCGGGATGATAGAGAAAGATGGCCACTGCGGTTCTTTAACAGAACCTGCCAGTGCAACGGGAACTTCAGTGGATTTAACTGTGGGCAATGCCGACATGGTCTGACAGGGCCAAACTGTGATCAAAGAGTCACTGTGGGTGAGGATAAACATCCCAAATACGCGCTGCACATCCAAATATGCACTGCAAAAGTGCACATGCGTTTGCTTTGCTTTCTCACCTGAGTCTGTTTGTGTTCCCAGTGCGACGTAACGTCATGCAGATGTCTACAGATGAGAAAAGAGCCTTTGTGAACGCTTTGGACCAGGCTAAAAGAACCGTCCATCCCGACCTGGTCATCTGCACCCGCCGCTATCAGGAGATTTTCGGGCCTGATCAATTTGAGAACATCACCATCTATAATTACTTTGTCTGGACCCACTACTATTCGGTCAGTAAGACTTACATGGGTCCAGGCCAGCAGAGCTTCGGAGGTGTGGATTTCTCTCACGAAGGACCAGGATTTGTCACTTGGCACCGGTACCACCTGTTGCAACTGGAGAGAGACATGCAGGTGACACAAAGCATGATAATGATAATTATACAACAGGAAATTGAATTACAAAACCTATTAAATAATGTCACGTCATTCCAAAACTGTATGACTTTCTTATTTCATGGAACACAAAAGGAGATATTTCAAGGAATGCACTGGTCTTTCTTTTCCACGCAAATGTAATGAATGCGTACTGGATCTTTCTCGTGCCCTGTATCTTAAGTTTTCTAAAAATCATAGCTATTGGTGAGAAACAGGCAAAATTTTAGGAAAATTATGACTTATGATTAATCTATTTATTATACAAAGATATCATATGACTTTAGAAACTTGGAATAGGCCACAGAAGTTATTTGGCACACTTTTATGATGGTTTGATATTCTTTTTAAAGCTTGAAAGATCAAGTAGAAAAGTGAGAAGAATACATTCTTCAAATTTAATTTGTATTCAGTGGAAGAAAGTCAGTCATATTGGTTTTGGAATGAGATGAAGGAGAGTAATCAAAATAGGTCATTTTTGGGTGAAACTTCCCTAATGGAAGGCCATTTATGCCACACAGGAAACAAAGTTATGACTTGCACATCATATGTCATAGAAAGTCCAAATTAAGACATTCAATTATAAATTATATTATAAAGATTAAGTTATATTAACCTATAGATAAAAATACTTTGATTTAGAGTTTTTCAAAATGATGACTTTCAATGCTATATGATGACTTTTTATAT